TCCCTCGATGTTCTCCATCCAATGGTGAAAACCGCATGTCTCTAGCTCTTTCCCTTCAAAAGTTATAAGCAATCTACCCAGCCGTCTTTCTTTTTTAAAACGGTAATAGATACAGACGATCTACACTTCTTAACAGACATACAGAATTTATCCGCAGGTGAAAGTGTCGCTCAGGAAAGAAAATTGTTTTTTTTGAGAAATGAACATCCTGCTATTTGTGAAAGACGACTGCACGATGATGTGTTTCCAGTATTAATTGATCAATCTCGCCACAAAGGCGATTCAAAATTTATATGAAACTTCTTAACTATATTCTACAGTTGTAGATCCATGCATTTGACAATCGGATAATTTTATTTGGATTTCTCAAACATGAGTTTATTCCTCTAGAGAGTCATTTCTCATTCTAAACTTAATTACTTGAAAATGTATCCTTGTTTGCTAACCAGCTGATACAAATTCTAATGGAAGACTTTTTTACTGATCTATAGGCTACTGGCGATAAGTTTCTGTCTCCTTTTTTCAATTCAACGTTTTTTGTTGGTTTTCAAAGAGACACTTAAATACGACATAGATTTTCACAATTAAATAACTATTACTCTATTTCTAATACTAATAAGAAGGTTGATGAGCAAAAAAAAAAGAACATCATTTTAGGAGAAAATTTTTTGAACTCGTTTTGAGAAAACTTTGGCTTATTTTCTATCTTTAATTTCTAAGCTTCTTTGAAGCAAAATATCTTACGATAATTTTTTCTTATTTCAGTTACAACTTCATCCATTCCTATTACATCAAATGTTTGTGTTTCTTAGTGAATACAGTTTTGTCTGTTCATCTGATGCCAACATATGGTAAATATTAATTATACTTCTTTTCTGAATCTCTATGTCGTTTGGTTTTATTTGACAGGTTCAATTGTTATATCACGTTGACCGATGAAGGAAAAAATTTTAGTAGAATTGACGATCGATTGCGTGGTAGATATAATTATTATATAATATATTGAATATAGTTCTATTTTCTTAAATTTTTAGTTCAATTTCGATTACAATTGATCAATGGTATATTAAAAGTTCAACTACCTACGCCAGCTTATCATATGTTAAAAGAATTATTAACAAATAATTTCGATCATTTAAAAGATGACGAATTATTAGCATTGATTAACTGTATATTTGATCATTTAAATTTGGATGATGAAGATAATGATAGTGAGAGACAAGAAGTTGAAACAAATCATCGATGGTCGCGTCCTCTAAACAAAATATCTGTATAGTTTTAGACTAAATTAAAGTTATTAGTCTCAGAAAATTTATTTTTCTTTTCTATTTTCAGAAACCGATTGAGTTTCTACAATGGTTAATTAATAATAACATATTTAGTACACAAGTATTATTTAGACTAGTCAAGAATATAATTGATCTACATGAGAAACATGAGAAAGAGGCATTTCATAATCAATTACAAATTGATTTACTTATGGTAAGATTAAACTCGAACGACTCCTGAGAAACGATTTAAAAAGCGTAACTAGGATTTTTTCACCGTTGGACCAACTCCATCATTAGCTCGAAAAAAACGACTGAGCCACACTTTGATAATTCGAGAAACGACTGAACCAAAAGAGCCTTTTTCCACATTTTCAGTTGGGGAAATCACAAAGTTCAAAATTTTATTGGGCTCCGGGGGGGGGGGGCCGGGGGGGGGGGGGGGGGGGGGGGGGGGGGGGGGGGGGGGGGCGGGGGGGGGGGGGGGGGGGGGGGGGGGGGGGGGGGGGGGGG